AACACAGAAGCAGAACCATATTTGCTCAACAAAATCAAATGTGGGAAGCCTTGGTGAGTATCTTTCTACAGGATGTAGTACAGCATGATGATTAGTGAGCCGGACTGGGTCCTGAATGATCACAATGCTAGTTTCTGACTGTCGTGAGCTGTGCTTCTCCTTCCCATCAGTAATAATCTGAACAACACTTCTTTGCCAAATGTCTTTGCATGGAACATGAAGGGTTTCCCATCAGATAGACTCCCCAACTCTAAATCTCCTCCCCTGAGATGCTGTTGCTATTCCCCATTCCCACTGCTTGGTTGACTGGTACATTTGAAATAATCTCCCCACAGGCAGGCATAGGCCACTACTCAGGAATGAGTTCTTTTCAATGATCATCCTGTCATCAGAGTTTCAGCTGTCAGGCCCACCATGAGAGGCAGCCTCCACTGCACATATCCGGTCCTCCTATTCTGAATTGTGAGTCCCACCAAAACAGTTAGCCTCCTGCATGTGACTCTGAGGTTTACCATAAGGTGTAGATGAGACAGTGGTGCAGGGAGGAGACTAATGATGCTTCTGGCCCTGGGAAAAACTTTGGCTCTCTTGCTTCACCATATGCATATGGAATAGTTCCTCTTGCCTAAATAATGGAAATCAGAAACATTTTCATTTCCATGCTTCCCAGTTCCACTCAGCTCAGCTGTCCCCTGGGTTAACTTTCAAAGCTTTTCTGAAACCATTGAGTTCCCAGTTGAGTGGAACAGAGCCCATTGGATAAGCCCAGAACATATACAAAGTGTTTTATAGGCACCGAGTCACGTGTGCAGGAACAGGGGTGAAAATGAGTGAAGAATAGCTACATACCAAAAGTTAATGTATTCATGGGCAAAAGCAACATGAGAAGCCTCTGAGGGGACATGGCAAAATAACAGGATAAATGCCGGGGATTACAGAGAATTGACATGGCAATCAGTAAGGCACAGTTTATAATGTCATCTTACATTATAAACTAGTAGGACTCCTTTCATACATTTTGAATAGGAGAACAGCTTCCTGCAGAGTCAGAGTCAGTGCTAAAGTGCTGCATTCATTAAACAGCAAACCCCATAAGTTTGTCAGCAATAAAAGCAAATGAATCTACCCACATACCATTAAACGTTCGGTTTTCTTCAGAAACTTTTATTTTCTTCGATTTATGAATGGTTGGTGTACTGGGGGAAAAAGCTCAGTAAATCATGAAAACTCAGTAAATCAGCACTTTTCACAGATTGGGGGCTGTGCCAGGAAGTGTTTTGAGCAACGGAGCTGCAGCAGAGGGATTCAAGAGCCATGTGCGGCTTCAGAGCCGTGGATTGCCGACCCCTGATCATGCCCCTCTATCATCTGACACTCCTTCACATACATTTAAGTCACCATGAGATCCCCTCAGAGTCTCCTCTTCTCCAAACTAAGTCCCATTCCCGCAATTTCATCTTTGATGGCATCCCTCACAATCTGGCTGCCATCCTTGTGATCCTGAGCTGAACTGATTTGAGCCTTGCAATGTCTCTCCTGTAATGTGGAGGCCAGAACTGGACACAGTTCTCCAGTTGTGGGTGCATGAGAGTCTCATAAAATGGCACCAGCACAACTCTCATTCTGGAAACCAGAGCTCTGGCTGTACATCCAGGAGTGGCATTCACCCTCTTAAACCTCACGTCATACTGCTGGCTCATGTTTAGCCTGCTGGTTTGAGCAGGTCACAGTCTGCGGTCACCTTCTGTTATCAACAATAGATAGCACAGTTGGGATGGCTCCATATGGGAGTTGACTTTTGGCAGCATTCCACCCCTCCTGCTGGTCTGCATTGTACTGTGGGCACCAGCAATCAGCGCAGTCAGGTACACTCCACCACAAGGGATGGAAAGGAATTGTCTGGGATTATATATCTATCAAACTCAGTGGGTTTGGCCTCTGGGATTCCACACACTTTGCAGGGGACTGTAACCTGGGACCTGAGCGACCACCCTTAGACAATGGGGTGCTCACTAGGAATCCAGTCCCAGGAACAGTCCATTTCCAACAGTAGCCACTGCCCCTGTTTTGTACCTAGACCAGGAATGGTTGGCCAGGAGGGGCTCACCAGGAAAGGAACCTCAGACCGGTCCCTTCTGCCAAGTGTAGCACAGCTGCACTTGGAGCAACTGCACCTGATGCAGAAGGAGAGTGCTGCTTCCATGGCTGGGCCTCTGTGAGTGTTCACAGTCTTCCTCTCAGCTTGGCTTGCTTTGGATGAGTGGGCCAAGCATGAGAGGAAGCTCAGAAACACTTGAAGGGACAGATTATAAGAGAGCCCATCCCAACCCTGCTTGGAGAATGAGTACATGAGCAAGTCCATGGGACTTCATGTATCACACACCATCTGAAATGTACACGGCCTCAAAAATGATTCAACAGGTTCCGTACATCACTGGCCAAGTCCCAAACTGTGATTTTCAGTATCAGGCTGATCATGGAATCTTCTGGACAGAGAAAACTTGGAAAGAGCTCCTAGAATATTCTAGGAAAGTCTTGTGGGCCAGAGGTTCCACACTGCTCTTGACGTTACTGTTAACAAATGGATTCTGAACACACACAAATCACTGAACATTTAAGGCCTGGATAACTGAAGGATCTTTTTCTGTATGCACCTGCCTGTACCCTAAGATCATCTGCTGAGGTCCTTCTCTGGAAGCTCTCTTTAATTAGGCTAGAATAGAGGCAACCAGGGGAAGGGTCGTTGCAGTGGTAGCACTCCAATGGTGGAATCTGCTTCACAGAGAGCTCCACTGCAAGGATGCTGGCAAGTGTGCTGTGCCTTCCAAGCCTTCCAAACCATGAATGGACATGCTCCTTGTCATCCTGAGTACAGAAAGAGAAGTGAATAATCAGAGAGCCATAAAACTGTCCCCCAGTCACCATCCAGAAGGCCTACCCCCAAAGAAGAGAGGACCTTCCATTTCAAGTTCATTCTGACCAGTTCCTGTGTAATACTTGCATAATGACGTAAGGCAGCTTCCTGTTAGTAATTATTTGTCACAGATATTTTGCAGCTTCAAACCAGCAAGGAAGCTTCAGCTTCTACAGGGACTAATTTTGGATTCCAGTGTCACTGTGTTGCCAGATTCAGTTGGGCAACAGCAAGTGTGAACCCATGTGTGCCCCCAACCCAAGCCAAATGAGCCTGAGATGAGAATTAGAGCCAAACCCAGTTTTATTCTAGTGCACTTTAGAATTGAGGGATGCAATTGAGGGATGGAATTGAGGGTTTAAACCACTGAGCTGCTGGACTGGTTGATGGAAATGTCACTGGTTTGAATATGCATAATGGAATGAGTTCCCATTGCTCCGTCCCAGCTCCTGTCAACTTTGCAGTTCGAAAGCATGCTAATTTAAGTAGATAAAAAGGTACCACTTTGGTGGGAAGGTAACAGCACTCCGTGCACTTCGTTGTTTAGTCATGCTGACCACATAACCACGGAGACTGTCTGTGGACAAATGCTGGCTTCCTCAGTTAGGAAACAAAGATGAGCACCACCCCTAGCGTCAGACTTGACTGGACTTAACTTTAAGGGGAAAACTTTACCTTTACCTTTTTACTTTAGAATAAATGGAGACAAGGGGAATTAAACTTTCTGAAATCAAGAGTCTTGAAAGTTGCATGCCAGAACATGTGTGTTATACCTTACCTAAGCCATCAGGTCATGTAACAGGCATCAATGTAAGCACGCCCCCTGCTGTTAGCTTCAGAGAGTCCTTTTTTCTGTCAAGGACTGGATATTTCCCATCTTTCTTATCTGCTCAAGATTCATGCAGGCTTGCCATGTTCTTACTCCATGCACATCTGCAACTTTCATGGTGGCTATAACTGGTTTCCACTATCCCTTTGGTTATTGGATTTGAGGTCAGGCTAACTTGTTAGCTGAGGGTTACAAAAAGTTCATTTTGTTCTTCTCCACCCTCCCTTCTGAGGAATGAAATTCAATCTGGCTGTGTGCGTGGTGTTTTTTTTTTTAAACTATGTGGCCTTTCTCTGTGCAACTACTTTGGGGACCTTCCTCTGGCCAACTACATATGGGGTTATGTGACTGGAAACAACTGTACTGTGGTCACATGAAAAAAAGGGTACATGCAAAAAAACATTGGCCAATAACTGCTCCTTTTGCTTTGTCCAGATGCAGGCTCTTCCGTGAAGTCAAAGCAAAGGGAGGGGAAATGGCACATTTCATCAGCAGTAGAGAAGTTAGAAAATTGAGTAGTTTGCTGTGTGCTCCACATAACCCTGCTTTGCTAACATGTGTGAGCAGTCACATTATTGCTGGAGTAAAGTCCAAAGGAGGCACTTTCTTCTGGATCACTTGAGAAGTTAAAAATATTTTGCAGTGGTCTAACATGTGGTGCCAGCAAGTAGGCACCTGAGAGGCTCACAAGAATCTTAGCAAGCAGAAGGAGCATTTGTTTAGAAAGAAAGACAAAGCCAGTTCAAACCCCCACTGCAATGTTATCAGGGCAGGTAATATTGTGTCCCAACCTTGCTCAATTGTTCAAAAGCAGTGAAAAGCATGCTGTGTCATCGTTCTTCAGCCACAATGAGATTCTGTGGTTTTTATCCAACAAGAACTACCCCTCAGAGATTAACCAGCAATGGTACTTGTGATGAAGAAAAGTTGGATGTGGCAATCCAAACACCTGGAAACTCAAATGCTGTCCACAAAAGTCCTGATTCAAGCATTTGAGACACTTTGGAAAAGGGGTTAATTGGTTCTTATACTGCACCCCTTTGTCCTTACCTCAGAAGGTCAGAAAGCTTGTTGAAGAGTGATATGTTGACATCAGAAGAAGGGAAATGCATGCATGTATTCCTGGGCTCGTACTCCTTCAGTTCCTAGAACTAAAAGCAGCCTATCAGACTATTCCAGTTTTTGCCTGGATTTGATCAAGTGCTATATATTCAGATTGTGGTGAGGGCACCTCCTCCCCTCTCACCCATTTCCTTGCTATGTCACGATGCCATCTCTTTTTTTCCTAACGAGATGTTCCTTCTTATTCAAAGCAGGCCTCAAGACAATGATGTAGCACTTGTGAAGAAAGATGCAGCCCAGTAAGCCAGCACTGGAGGCCAAGATGGAGAAGACCTGCACAGCCACCATGTACTTCCCCTTGGTGCTCAGGTAGGAGGGCACGAAGGACACCCAGACACTGCAGAAGACCAGCATGCTGAAAGTGATCAGCTTGGCCTCATTGAAGGCCCCTGGAAGCTTCCTGGCCAAGAAAGCCACCATAAAGCATACGGCAGCCAGGAAGCCCATGTAGCCAAGGGCAGTGTAGAAAATGGTCACAGAGCCTTCATTGCACTGCAGGATGATGTGTCCAGGCTGGGAGTGCATGTCCAAGTCAGGAAAGGGAGGAGAGGTGCCCAACCAGATGCAGCAGAGGACAACCTGGATGCTGGAATAGAAAATGACAATGGAGTTGGCCAACGTCTTCCCTAACCACTTTCTGGCCCTGTTGCCTGGCTTGGTGGCCAAGAAAGCCAAGACCACAGTGAATGTTTTGGCTAGGAGAGAAGAGACGGCAACTGAGAAGATGATGCTGAAGGCTGTTTGTTGCAGAAGGCAGGTGGCCTTGCTGGGCTGGCCAATGAAGAGGAAGGAGGAGGAGAAGGAAAGCAGGAGGGCGACCAGAAGAATATAGGAGAGGCTGCGGTTGTTGGCTTTGACCACTGGGGTGTCTCGGAATTTAATGAAGATTCCTAACACAAAGGCCGTCAAAAGGGATAGCATAAGGGCCATGGAAGCCAGGGAGATCCCAAAAGAATCTTCATAGGACAGGAAGGTGATCATCTTGGGAGTACATTGAACTCTGTTCTTGTTTGGATGCTGATCCTCTGGACATTTGGTGCAATGGTCAGCATCTGGAATTAAAAAGAAGAACAGATATAAATGGATAATAGTTGGAGGCAGGGGGTGACCATTCCCTGCTACTTGGTCCAGCAGTGGTGCCTCTGATGAGTGGACAATTCAGGATGGAGCAAGGGAAGTGCTTCTGCACACAAGCAGAGCAAAAGCATGGAACTTGCTACCAATGTTTATCCAGAACTTAAGAAACATGAGCACATTAAAAGGTTGACATAAATGGTTTTTCTTATGCTTTTATTTGCATACATTCAAATATTAGAAAAGGCCACTATGTTTCTGCTAATCTCCTTCAAAAGGAGAAGAAACATGAGCAAGCAGTTGGTGTCTTGCTTTTCTCTTGCTCAGAGAAGTGGGGTAAATCTGCCAGTAGGAGGCATGGGGGACAGAATGTGCTCAGAGGTTACAGGAGGCACACTGCCTCACCTCTCACCCAGCAGAGTAGAGGAAGTGTTCATACTCCAACATTCCCTTTGGAGACCCACTTGATGATACCATTAATGGATAATGTGGGGAAGTTAGAAATAAATGAGAAGATGAGAAGAAAATACGGGAGGTTTCTGGTGGCACATAACCCTCCTGATCCATTCTCCAAATTGATCTTTGTGGGTCACACTGACAACCAATTGTTGATATTGCAAGAGAGGCTCCAACTGTGTATATGCCCCAGAACCATATTCTGCGTATAGCACAGAATCATATTCTGCATATATGCAGAATATGATTGAGTACATGTTCTATACAAACTCCTTGCAGGGTGCAACCCAGAATTGTCTTGTGGATGATGGGAACCCTGTCCACTTCCCCATGTGGCTTGATCTGGGAAAAAACTACCCTGACAACACATGGCTTGTTCAAAGCCCTGCCTGACCTCTGCAGTGAAAGGACAGGTTTCAACCAGGCAAGAGGCTGAAATGTGTGGGGAAACATGCTAATGGGAGCCGGTGAAGGCAAAGGATGCTCCTAATGTGCAGTGGACCAATAGCAAACAAAGCATCTTGTGCAATGAGTGGTCAAACGATTGTGTATGGAACAACATGCAACATAGTGGTTTGGGAAATGTGCTGCTGGCAGCAGAAGGACTGGAGAAAGGAGACTGGAACAGTCCTCTATACTGTGAAGGATTCTCTGCAGGATATATCATCCCTTAGCAAGATGTGGCAAAATGCCCACTGTTGTGGAGGACCATTGCCTTGATCCTCACGGGCTGGATTGTCCTTTGTTGTCACCCACCTTCCTGGGAGGAGATGGTCCCTTCTGGGCATAGAACGCAGTCATAGCAGCAAATGGGCTTTCCTTCCTGAACCACTTTGTAGAATCCCGGGCTGCAGCTCTCTACACACCTCGCATGGGGCAGGGGCTGTGCAGAAAAACAAGGTCCACCCCAGATAATGTGTTGGAGAAACATCATTGGGCGAAAGGAGAGGGAGCATTTGAAAGAACAGGAGAGGACTTCTCAGAGGGAAGCTGATCCTGCAAGTAGGATTGTGACGATCACATTGGAATCTTAGCTCTTGTGCTGACTGGAATTCATTGCCATGCTTGGCAATTGTGCAGAGAAGCCATGATGCACAACTCATGTGTGCAGAAGTATGTGGCTGGCCTCTTTGATTCTCTTGCACTCTTCCAGACACCCACACAAACACTTGGTGCAAGTCAGATTAAGGGCATAAAGAACGTGGGCTAGAGTCTGGGAAGCCAAGCTTGAGAAATCTGACAGATTCCCCCTTCCAAGGAGAATTCCTCACACATTGCTGCCTCTAAGTAAACCAAAGCCCATGCAAATGCATCCGATGCACATCCCTTCCCAAATACATGCATTTGACTGGACATGGAATGAAATGAAGGCATGGTTTTGCTCACCTTGTTGAGCCATTTGGGCCACATAATGGCTTCTTGGTCAATGGTACATTTGCGTCCAGACGAACCCTGTTGTTCTATACTCCCAACTTTCACTCTTATGACAGACCTGTTGGGAAACTTTACCCAGTTGACAATGTCCAGGTCAGCTGCCAGGTCCCCTTTCTCATCCAAATACACTCCATCCATGGAACGATTGTGAAACTGGGGGCTTCTCAGGAATGGGTGGAGCTGGAATGGGAGAGAAAGTGCCAGCACTGAGGAAAGATGCAGCCATGCTGGATTCCCCAGTTTTGCCCTTTTTACTCAGGGCTGAATTGGCTGGTGTGTCTTTTCCAATGTGCAAGTGCCCTTATTTCATCCATGAATGCTCTTGGTCTATTTTGGGAGGTTGGCAGGAGGGTGGCAAGAAGCCTTCTGCTATAAATATGCAAATCCATTCTGGAGTGCAGACCAGGTCTTACCCTCAGGGAAAGTGATGACAGTGTCTTCAGGGCTCATGGTTTAGGATTCCTGAAGAGGCACCCAGTGATCAGGTTGTACAGACTTACCAGTGAGTTCCTTTAACTGCATGTTCACAGTGGATTGTACTGGAAAGATAACATGTGGCCTATAGGTAGGAAAGAACCTGAACATTTTGCCTGAATCGTCTTCTTCTTTCCATCCTGTGCAATGCACAGTGGCTGCAAGTGTCTTCCAAAGTGTTCAGTCTGCAGCAAGCATTTTTCTTAAAATCAATAAAATTGGTTAATAATAGTTTTTGAAACTCAGTGCTTTGTTCAATAATATTTCTCAGGGAAAAGATCTGTTCACTACACGAATGGTCTTGTCTAGACCCAGCTTGTTCTTCATGTAAATATTGGTTGATTTTATCTTGCAGTCTTTTCAACAGAATGATACTAAACACTTTTGCAGGACTGAGAAGAGAGTAATACCTCTCCAGTTGTTTGAATCACTCAATTTGCCTTTTTTGTTTTTTTGTTTTTTTTATAATGATCCCTTTTCTCCAGTCATCCTGGACATATACATTTTGCCAGCAATAATTTGACAGCTGGGTAAACTTACAGACAACACTGTCATCACCATATCTTGTATACTCAGCTGATATTTGATCTAGCCCAGGTGCTTGATCATTCTTCAGTGTATATATAGCTTCATCTTGAGTAAATAATCCCATATCTACACCCAGGCCTGCTGGAGGTGGAGTGCTGAAGTGATGTGTTATTGGCGAGTGGAGCTGACTTAATGTCTCCTTAAAATATTCAGCCCAACACATATCCTAGATGGGGTATTATTTCACCCCATGTAGTTCATCACCTGACCACATAGAGAAATGCAGAGGGATTTCAAGGGGGTGAATATCAGACATTCAATTGTGCAACTTAAAGTAAAGCAATGTTTTCAGCAGAGGAGGGTTGTCTTCTGAGTGCCAGTGATAACTTTAATACAGAGTGTGATTTTGGAGATTGAAGAAGTTCAATTTGGACAATGAAAAGTTCAGAACACAAGCAAGTAGAAACCTTAAGGGCCCAACTGGACAACTAGGTGGGCATCCTGCCCTATATGCAAACTCAGAACATGGCAGAACCCACACTCAAAGGCAGAGTATGTGATGATCAAAGGCTATCACTGAACTGTGGGCCATGGCTGAATATGGGTTTTTAGTAGTCTGGACCCAAACAAAGAAATATTATGGCTTCTTCACCATGGTTTGATATGTCACGTAGCTTCAGATATCCTACATTTCAAGAACAAGCCACAATTCAAGCATGAGACACACAGAGCCCTTGTGTGCTATGCAATATTGTTAAAGCCAATTTAATCAACCAGAGAGATGGATCTGAGCAAAGATCCCTATAACTCCTCAGACTGCAAGTGGTCTCATTCAGGATGTCTTCTGCCAAGTGTGGTGTGCCCTGCGTGATGGAGGGCATCCTCTGAATCCAGTGAAAGGCAGAAATAGAAAGATTCACATGGAAGAAAGGCCAGATGGGCCTACCAAGTGGAATACCCTTGTGAGCATGCAAACTCATGCCTTGAATTTTCATAGTCCCTGCACTGGTGCAATTCCTTATTATGCTCATCAGGAAGGTCTGAAATGGAATAGAGAATACCTGCCATGACTGAAGACTTTGCATGTTCAGCCTGTGTCCACCCTCACCCCTCATCCTCTTGAATATGGAGGATAAAGCAGTATCCAAGGCCCTGGCCACAGCCTGAATGGTGTTGTAGGAGAAGTAGCTGTCCAGAGAGAGCACTCGCTGCACCTTATGTCTCAGCTGAGCCTTCCCTTTTCCATTGTCTCTGAATCTTGTCCACCCTTGCATGGACACCACATGTTTTGCATAGGAACACTCAAATGACTTCTTCACAAATGCCTCCATAGCAAAGAAAAAGGGTGTAAAATCTTCATAGTTTGTCTTTTTATTCATTTGGAGAATGAAGGAAAACAATCCATGGATGTGTTGGAAAGGTAGATTACTATATGTTAACTCAAAAGTAAAATCCCACATTGTAGTGATGATCCAGACTTTCCCTATGAGGGGTTTCATCCTTTCCACTTCTTGCTGCATAAGATGTATTCCATAGAACAACAGACTTTTCTCCATACAATAAACATACACATGGATTTGTTGCAGCATCTCAAATGAACCTTCACGAAGCCCTGGAGAATTTGACTTCATGTTCAAGAAAGTGTATGAAAAAAAGACACAAATGCCATTCCTGAGAAGTTCAGGTGTCAAGGTTCTCACAAACATATGTCCATTGTCAGTGTCTAAAGCAAAGAGCCCAACCATGGACCATCTGAAATGCAGGAGGAGTTTGACGATCCCCATGTACTGGACCCCTTCTCTGGGGAGCATGTGGTAGAGAAAAGGGAACTGGACTTGATCACTGAGGACATGAGAATCAAAAGCATAAGTGACCTGGAGAATTAGAGAAGAGACTTATAGATTCATTGCAGAACCACATTTTCTTCATCTTGTGAGGTTACACCTCTGAGCAAGTAATTATCTATCTGAAACATTCCAGCCGAAGCAACTTCTTTCCTTCCTTCCTTCCTGAAAAATCAAATGTTTAGCCTTCCTAAGTGTAAAACACTGAAAATGGATGTCACAAAGAGGTTGAATTCAGGTGCATCTTCTAAGTTTTCACAGTGGGAGAAAGTTACCCAGGATCATCTCAATTTTCTAGCAGGTGGACTGGCCTGATTTCCAAGCAGTGAACTAGCAAAGTATATTCATTAGCTATATACACTGATTTTTTTCTTACAAACAAAAAAAACCTCTTAAATAATTCTCCTCCTGCTTCTCTCAGTCTTATCCCTACTGCAAAAATCCTTTGAGGTAGGTAGGGATGAGAGTCGGTGACTGGCCCAAAGTAATCCAGTCGGCTCCATGGCTGGGCTGGGACTAGGTTGCCTGAGTCCCAGTCCCAGACTCTTAACTACTACACCACACTGGTTCCCAAAAATTGTTGTGCTCCTTAACTCTCTGAGCTCTGTGCACAAAGAAAATTAGCCATGATGAATGGCCAAACAGGTCAGAAATTTTCCTTCCAAACAGAAAACATCAGCCTAGTTGTGTAGAAGGGAATGCTTGTGTGAGGCATGGACAACCCTAACCCTTTGCAACCCGCTCTTGTTGTGTTGTTGTTATGTGCCATTAAGTCATTTGTGACTTCTGGGAACCCTATGAATGAACTTCCTTCAAAATGTCCTGCCCATGCCAGCCTTGTTCAGTTCTTCCAAGTTCAAGGCCCTGGTCTCCTTTATGGAGGGCAATTGTCTCTCATTCGGCCTTCCTTTACTTCTGACTTTGGCTTCTTCCAAGCAGTTCTTGATCTGGACTGCCTATGTTCATGGCATGGGAAATACTCACTGTGGATCCATGGGGAACATCTCAATTTATCCTAGCAGAAATGCCAAGTAAAGGAAGATTGCACCTGAAAATGAATTCTGCACACCTGTCCAATTTTGTAAATACTTAGCAGATATGAAATTTGGTTGGAGTTTTCAAAGTCTGTTTCATCAAGAATGGCCACCAGCTGTTGTTGTCTGCCACACTTGTAGTTGGGAACATGGACCTGACCGGTCGAAAGCAGGTCTACGGCTGCATCAGAAGTCAGTCTTGCATTGCTATAGCTGTCATAGATGTCATAGCCCAGGGTGATGTTGGGCAAGAGCCTAGGGTTCTGGTTGATCTCCTGAATGGCAAACAAGAAGGAGAGGATCTTCCAGTAAAGTGTGTCTCCAAAACTTGGAAAAAAGCAGATATCTCATGTCACTATCTCATCTATGACAGATTTAAATGTTTCATGGCAGCTGCCTGGACTTACATGCATACATACATATGTATATGGGCACTGTGTTTCTATGGCTTTCTACATACTGAGACAGTTCTCATGGCAAAGCCAAAAGCAAAATACCAAAAGAAAGGGAGGAGGTTACTTCTCTGCTGACTACAATTTCCTCATACTGGATTGTTCCTGACAAAAGCTGGCAATGTGTGACAAAACAACCCCCATATCTAGCTGTCCATGCAGTTTGTCTTATCACCTGAAAAAGCTGAGTGACTTACTCCAACTTTCCATTAGAAGCAGGCTTCCTGAAAGTGTAGGGAAGAAAGTTGGCATGTGCTGCAGAGATGGCTGCAGCAATGACATAGTCTCCTGGCCTGTAGTGATTTAGGGTCTGAACCTCATCCCTGTGCCAGCTCCAGGGGCATCTGGCCTTCAGGATCCCACAGGAGGACTTTGGGAGAAGCAGCAGCAACAGCAGCAGGAAGAGAAGCATCATTCTGGCTCTGCCAAGTGCGTCCTCCTTTTTACTTCTCCACCGAGGAATGGAGAGAAGTGGTAGGAGCAGTCAAGGTCTCTGGCAGATCGAGGCTTCACTTTTCTCCAGACAGAGATGGAGCCCAAGCTAACACCTTCCCTGACGGGGAAGAGCAAATGTCACCTGCACCAAGGAATCTTTGCCTGCTCTGAAGTCCCTCCCCAGCTCTGAATGGAAGAGAGGCTTTTATATGCCTTCCCATTTGCACCTGGATGCAAGGCGGCACCTCCTCTGGCTCTGGACTCCCATGTGTACAAGGCTGAACTCATCGGTGGTATTTTCAGGGAGGGAATCCCAAGAGTTCTAGCAGGAACACCAGGAAAGCATTATGATTTCGACAACTATACAGTCC